GATATGAACTGGCCATCAAACAACTTTAGGCTTGAAATTAGATGAAGGTGTCTAACCATCAGCGAAGTGAACTTCTGGAACAGCCTCCCAAGAGGAGCAGTGAGGGCAAAAAATCTAAAAGGTTATAAGACTGAGCTTGTTAAGTTTATGGAAGGGATGTTATGATGAGATTGCTTACAATGGCATATGGCCCATCTCTGACTGTTATTAGCAAATATCTCCAATGGTTGGAGATGAACACTAGTTGGGGAGGACTCAATTACTACAAAGAATTCTTTCCCAGGTGTCCAGCTGGTGGGTCTTGGCCACATGCTCAGGGTTACCTCATCAGCATATTTGAGGTTGGGAAGGAATTTTCCCCAGGTAAGATTGGCAGAGACCTTGGTGGATTTTCTCTCTCTCTGCAGCACAGATCACAGATCACTTGCTGTTTGAACTAGAGTAAATGGTGGATTCTCTGTAGCTTGAAGTCTTTAAATCAAGATTTAATGACTTCAGTAATTCAGCCAGAGGTTATAGGCATATTAGAGGAGTGAGTGGGTGAGGTTCTGTGGCCTGCGATGTGCAGGAGGTCAAACTAGATCAGGGGTCGGCAACCGATGGCACGTGAGCTGATTTTTGATGGCACGCTGCTGCCTGCCGGGGTCCTGGCCCCACTCAGCCCCCCACCCACCGATTTCTCCTGCGGGGGCACGAGGCAGAAGCTTGGTCATGCCAGCAGCCAAGCTCCCCCTTCCCCGCTTCTTCCCCCAGCGTAGTGCTTTCCTGCCCCTCCCCCTCCCGCCGATCAGCTGATCGCCCGGGGAGAGAGGGAGCGGAGCGGAGCCAAGCCGAGCCGCAGCGTGCTCGCTACTCCGGGGAGGAGGCAGAGAAGAGGTGGGGACAGGGCCCTGGGGGAAGAGGTGGGGACGAGGCATATCCCCTCCAGCCCTCTGCCGTGAGCACCCCCACGAGCTGAGCACCCCAGCCTTCTGCCCTGATCCCTGCACCCCCTCACACACCTCCAGCCCCCATTCTGACTCCTTCACCCCCCACACCCCATGCCCTGACTCTTGCACACACCCCCCCACATCCCCATCCTGAGAACCAAACGGGAACTCCTGCACCACCACCCCCACATTCCCACCTGCACCCCCGGTCTGGGGTCCCGGCCTCCGGCCCTTTGCCAGCCAGGATCCCGCAAGCCCCGCTCAACCCGCTGCCAAACTAGGTGAACGGAACCCCAGGCCGGCAGCGGGCTGAGAGGGCCGGCGGCGTAAGATCAACATTTGAATTTAATTTTAAATTAAGCTTCTTAAACATTTTGAAAACATTGTTTACTTTACATACAACAATAGTTTAGTTATATAATATAGACTTATAGAGAGAGACCTTCTAAAAAATGTTAAAATGTATTACCGGCACGCGAAATCTTAAATTAAAGTGAATAAGTGAAGACTCGGCACACCACTTCTGAAAGGTTGCCGACCCCTGAACTAGATAATCATGATGGTCCCTTCTGGCGTTAAAGTCTTTGATATATCGCCTCTAATTAAATTAATTGGGAGAAAGCTGATTTTTTTAAAAATAGTTCATTTATACTTCTGTTGCTTTAAATAAATCAAAATCCTCCAAGAATACAGGTAGAGGCAAGAAAGTCTAGTCTTATATACAACTATTTCAAGTAATCCAATATTTTGTTTTTGTCACTTTATACACATTCAGACTGTAGATAGAAGGCTTATTTATTTGACATAGAATTATTGCTCTTTTATGTAGTATTTTGCGATATAAATCACGTTGTCAAATCAGCAATTATACAAAAAGGAAGACCTGTGCAAGTTTAAGTGAGGATGACATCGGGGGGGCGGGTGAGGTGGGAGGGAGTGTGTTTCACAAGGTTTAAAGTTGAATGTCAAAAAAGGTTATATTCGGTTAAATTGCATACCTTTCACCAGAACTAAACAATATAATTTTGCAAGAGCCAAGTTTCTTTTAGAAACGGAACTATAACATCATTTGTCTGAATGAATCAGTTTCAATTAAGTGGTTCAACCTGCCCTTACAATGCAAAAGGCTGGTCTGATCACAAATCCATTTATTCTGTTTATAAACACACTATATTTTATACAGACATATATGTATAAGACTTTACACAAAAATTTATCATCATTTTATATAGAGAAGGGTTTAGAAGTTTAACAGTCAGAGTTAATTATCTGAGAGTTAGGTACACTAACTCTCACCTTTGCACTGGGACATTTCATATGGAGGTCAGTTACAGTACATTCCATTGTCTTTTGGTACAGATTGCTGAGACGGTAGATTGTTTTAAAATGTCCAGTGGCAGATGGTGACTTCTAAAAGTGAGCAGGTAAAAGTGGCATGAAAAGTTTTGCTCTGAATCAATTTACAGAAACAGACAGAAGTCATATTATATTTGCCCCCAAATAATGTAGGCAACAACTACATTATCTTCCCTAAGGAACCTTCACTGAAAATATCCATGAAAGAAGCAGAAGGTATGTTGGGTTACTTCCTCAGCTCAAGGTCAAGTTCATTTTAATTTCCCAGAATAGTAAGGATAAGAGACAAGAACAATGCCAATGGATGAAAACTGCTTGTTTACAAAACGCAGCATCTAACTTGGACTCACTCTACAAAGATTTAGATATAGCACTGGGCAAAGAGGGTTGTTTAAATGAATTATTTAGTCCTTGTGAAAACTGCTAGACTGACAGCTCTGACTATTCAAGTTCTCTATTTTTCCATAAGCAGATAGCGAAATTAATTGAATTATCTTATCAAAGAGACTACTCAGATCTGAAAAGCATTTAATTGGGAGACAACCCCATAAGAATGAAGCACTAGAAGCAAGTACAGCATATAAAAGAGTTTGCACATGAACCTCAGCATGCAGCATTTGAGTGTCTATACCTAAAAAGTGGGAGCACAGGTGTGATAACTAGATTATGTAGAGAACTGTTGTACTGGTACCCCTACGGGCACTTATTTTCTTATAGAAATCCACTTTTCCCATGCAGACTGTGCAAAAGGGCCAGAAATTTGCCAGGTCTCCCTTGCTGGGGATTCCTCCAATACAGAGAAAAATAACTGTTTTAAATAATGGTGTTTTAGCTTTTTTTTTTTTTTTTTTTTTTTTTTTTTAAGACTAACTCACCATTTATTAAAACAGTCATCAGTCCACACCTTTCTGTCCAGGCCCAAGGCTTAAACACCAATAAAATTTTAGATCTACAATTCCCTTTACACACACTATAACAATAATAGAAAAAACATGTTACAGCACGGACATCGCTAACCAAGACAGAGAGAACACTGTATACTAGCACTGTTATTGTAATGCAGATGGACTCTATGAAAATAAAGCAGAAATCCAGTGCTCACAAGCATGGGGTTTTTTTAAATGACTGGTTATGCACAACTTTTTGTTTGTTTGTTTTTTTAAGGACAAGCCGAAGAGGTCAACAGTCTGATTGTCTCACCTGTCACTGTTACCTGCAGATCAGAATTTTAGGATGGCCTTAAGATTCTCAATATGCAGGGTCCCTATAGGTTGAAATAATACAAAGGTAGCACTCAGTCTCTTGGAAAAGTATGTACCCAATATCTGCCCCGCATGCTTGTACTGCCCACATTGATGCCTGTAGCCATCTACACTGCTATTTTTACCCGTGCTACTGCAGATATGTCTACTGGAGCTAAAGTCACACCTCAAGATCGTGGTGTGTAGACATACCCCTAATAGCTGGCTGACAGACGACAATGTTGCCTTCAAGTCAGTGACTGACCTACCAGGCCAAAGATTAAGGGAAAATGTGAGTCTATAAAAGGGAAAAGCTCAGAACAAACACAGTGAAACCTCCTTGGGCAGAACTATATTACTTAAATAATTGGGGAAAGACTTCTCCGGAGCACTGGGCTGCATGGCTGTGACTATATTTTGCCACCCTACATTCTTTATCCTAGTTATCTATAACATGGCAAATGGATTTTTTAAGATGACCCTCTCCGTTTTTAAAGCCCTTAAATGTTGTCAGGTCACATCCCATTAAAATCTTTGCCACGAGCCTTGTCCTGTGCTCTGGCACGACCAACTTCGTATGAGCTTCACCACTGAAATTTAGCTTGATTACCTACCAATCCTATGGGCTGTGGTGCAGCCATGTGCACCCTCTCCATTCCTCCCCACTTCATAGACACGGTCTCTAAAATGGTTAATGTTTTCAGATGCTTCCTATTTAAAATTACTCTGTGTCTGTGTGGAAACTTCTGATTTGCAGAAATGCTGTGCACTCCCAGCTGCCACTGAAGTCAACAGGAACTGTGCTCTGAACATATGAAGCACTACATAATGTTAAATATAATGGGGATAACACTACTATCCCTTCACTTCATAAGGCTGCTTTGAAAATAATTTCATTAATGTTTGTGAAGCACTTAGATACTGTAGAGATGAGCACTACTGGCTTTTCTATCTTCAGATCAAGGTTTTTATAGTATGAAGTAAATGAGGCCTGGGGCCACATGTTGAACAATGAGAAGAAAACAAAATATTGCATAGCTGCTAATTAAGTAGGAACCATCCATCCTGTGCACAGAATGAAACAGGCCCTGTGGAAGAAATACTATGTGATCATAGGATAGAGACTATCATATTGAATATACAGAATTGTGCCAAATTAAGGTTGCACAGGTAACTTTAGTTCTGGCATTCCTTAACTTTTGAGTGCGAGACTTTGCAACCTTAATAATGTTCTTTTAATGTAGGGTTTGTTTGGGTTAGGTTTTGTGTAGTATATATTAAACAGAAAAAGAAAAGAAAATGTAAAATCACGAATAATTTTATCTTAATTTTTGGTGAGTTATATAATTGTTTTGGAATCCACACAGAGCTATTAAATAACCATCCAGGGGACAACAAAACAAACTTAATACCTCCTGTTATTAAGGTGTGCAAAGAAAGTGTCTAAAAAAAAGAAAAATAAGAAGATAGTTACCTTGTTACAATAAAGCATCCAAAGTTCATACAGCCTCTCTCTGGATGCCATTCCTTCGCCTCCTCTTCTCTCCTTTTACAACAATTTGTGTTCAAGATCCTACCATGCTCAGTTTATATTCCAAATTGTTCCCCCTGTACGTTTTTGCTTTTGTATCAGAATTCTGCCATAACCCAAGTGGAAACAATGTCAAGGATGAAAACAAATGGATCTCAGTGTACCTCCTGGGTAAACAATGCTGCACAATTCAACCAGTCAAAGGCAACTGTCAAGTAGCTCCTCTTCATCAATGGCACTTCAGTATTAACCTCGGAGAGTAAAAATAAACTTTTCAGGCTTATGTTGTGAGAGAGAAATCCATATTTAAACACTGGAGACCTCAGGAACTAGGTAGAGACAATCTCTATTTCTCTTATCAGTGACATCTCTAACAAGGAACCAATTGGTTTACAGCCTTCATGATCTTGTGTTTTGCAGCTGAGTTAAACAGGAAAAAAACAGGATAAAGCTACAAGGCAGAGAATACAATAGTCTCGGAGGTGTAGAAGAAAAAAAAAAGCCAAACAATATTAATGTGGATAATTGACCTGTAGAAAAAAAGAAATAAATTATGAACCAAAAACCCAAACACAAATCCTATATGCTGTACATCTTATTTCTAGACTCCCATAACCCGCCCATCATCTTAAAAGTTAAATTAAATCTCTATATTAAGTTTACAAAATTAACTAAGGTTTGTTGCTTGCTTTGTTTTTTCTTTTTTTCCTTTTTTCTATTCCCTGAGACTACACAGGCAAGCAGAATGCAGAACATCAGTAAGTTAAAGCCCTCCCACCCTATGCCCAAAGCCAGGCTCTCCCCTGAGAGAAAGACGCAAACTAAGAAGGGAACCTGCAGCTCCCAGGTCTAAGGGCCAAAACAGAGCGCTGCTTCCTAGTGTAGACACAGCCCAAGAGTTTCCCCCTCAAACCCCAGCTGCAAAGGTAACAACAAACCTCAGAGGATTACAAATGAGTAAGAGCCGATAAAGGGCAAGCTGGCAGAGACCTTGCCACAAATAGCAATCGCTGCTTCTTCCCCCGCTGGCAATTCCCACCCGCGCCCTCAGACCCCTCCTGCCTGCCGCTCTCGGTCAGGTTCCCTCCCAGCCTCCCCACGTCTGGTGACCCCCCGCTGCTGACTGCCTCTAGCCCCACTCCCCGCACCCTGCCCCCGGGGCAGTGATCTCCGGGGCCAGGCGCCGACTCCCGCTTTCCTCCCTCTGAGACTCGCCTCCTCTTTCCATCGGTCCCTTTGCCCTGTCAGCCGCCCCCGGCTCTCACGTCTAGGCTCCGACGCCGGCGGGCCCTGCTCCTCCCCACCCCGGTAGCTTACCCCGGGCGCAGGGGGCGGCCGGCCTGGGAGCGGCTCCTCTCAGCGCGCAGCCGCTAATGCAGCTGCCCGACACAGCTCGGCGGGGCGCAGGGAGGAGGCCGGGCCCGGCCGCACCGTCCCGCCCACATTCCAGCGCAGCCGGCTCCGGCTACCGCCCCGCCGAGCTGGGGGGGGAAGCGGGAAGAGACGCCGCCATCTTGATTCCTGGCAGGAATATGCTCCCTTGGCTCTGTGGGAGCCAGGCCCCGGGCCGGGGGTCGGGCCAGTCGCCCAGAGGGAAGGGCCTGTCCCAGGGAACCATCCATCCAGGCACCCAGCAAGCTGGCCCTTAGCATGAGTGTCTCAGTCTGGCCTCTTCAGGGGCAGCAGAGGACCTGCCTCCTCAGCTGACTGCCTGGAGGGACAAGGGAGCATCAGTGTTAACCAGTGTCCCCAGCCAGCACATAGCAAACACTCAGCAGGCGTGAGGTGTGTGAGAGGGGCTGAGGGGGGTGACCGGAGGCACCATGGTCTCCAGGGCTGGCTCCAGGCACCAGACGAGAAAGCACATGCCTGGGGCAGCACATTGTAAGGGGCGGCATTCCGGCCAATTTTGGGGCAGCTAGCCCAGCCCTGCAGGGGCACGAACTAGCGATCCCCGCCGCTCACCGTGCCGCCGGGCTCCCCGGGACGCGTCACTCCCCACCACCTGCTGCTCTGAGCCTGCCCGGCCAGAAGAGACACCCCAAAGCCAGAGGACTGCCCACGGGCGGAGGGAGTGGGCGGGTGCCGCCCTTCACCCTCCTGCAAGCCGCCTTGACCGCCCTCCACTGCGGCCGCCTTTTTTTTTTTGCTTGGGGCGGCAAAAAAGCTAGACCCGGCACTGATGGTCTCTTTTTGAGCGGGCGTTCCAGATGAAAACCAGATACCTGGCAACCCTATAAAGATTTGTAGTGGGAGATATCCAGAAAGCGCTAGAAACTGGCATTTCTGATAACACAGCTTTTACTGTACAATGCTTAGCTATATGGAGGAAAAGATACCAATGGTAGCAAGGGTTTGATACATCATTTGAAATCAAAGTATTTAATTATGACATGAAACAAGTATTCAGTACCTTGAGCTCTCCATGAATGGGAACATAAAATATTGGAGATGCAGAGAAGCCAAATAATCAATGTAATCACATACATCAATACCAGAAAAATCCTGCTCTCACACTGTATACAGGGCCAGGATTCCAGTTTATGGACTACAACAGTAATAAAAACATGAGTTCCCATGCCTGAAGCAGGCTCTCCGAGGATTGGTTTGGGACATATTGGCCATTATCAATTAAATATTCTTACCCCTTTTCTACTTTTAGTCTTATTTGATAAATTTCCTTTATGTATGAAACACCTGTAATCTCCCATCATCTGCAGGTCATATAATCTGTTGCCATTTGAAAGTAGTTTAGTTTCCATTTAGAATGGGTTTTGGTTCTTCCAATCGTTCTTTTTTAGCCCATAGAACTTTCACTTACTTCCTTTTGCTCTTTCTCATACCTGTTCTCAAAATATCGGTCTTGTGGTATCTACCATGTTAAAGCAAAGCTACCACAAGTTTCAGAAAGGAAATAAGACTTTTCTTTAGTCTTTCCTCTTATCCAACTATTGTTTGGAGAGTTTATTTGATAGTGCTACTGTTTACATTGTTATATATTACTGCAAAAGCCCCTGTGACATGCTCTCCTTTAAAACACAGAAATAACCAAGTTGTTATTTTAGTACATGGTAATTTGTTTAATTATCCTGTCACTACATGGTATTTCCCTAACTCGGGTTGGCAACCTTTCAGAAGTGATGTGCCGAGTCTTCATTCATTCATTCATTCTAATTTAAGGTTTCGTGTGCCAGTGATACATTTTAACCTTTTTAGAAGGTCTCTTTCTGTAAGTCTATATTATATAACTAAGCTATTGTTGTATGTAAAATAAATAAGGTTTTTAAAATGTTTAAGAAGCTTCATTTAAAATTAAATTAAAATGCAGAGCCCTCTGGACCGATGGCCAGGACCCCGGCAGTGTGAGTGCCACTGAAAATCAGCTCGTGTGCTGCCTTCAGCACACATGCCATAGGTTGCCTACCCCTGCCCTAACTGATTAACTGTCGGGTCCCAATCCAGTAAACAATGGATATGCTCAGGTGCATAAAGTTAAGCAGATGCATAAATGGTTGCAGAATAGGAGCTTTACTGCTTAAGTAAAGGCTATTTCTATCAAATACTTGCACTTCAAAATAAAACTTTGCCAAATAAAGGTTATTATATTACAGTAAGACTCCACAGGCTACCTTACTTTTTGTATTTCTTTTCCTTTGTTTACACTTTGTGATTTTTATTTCATTATTACAGATTTGTCATTTAATTAATTTTTCACACTTTAATTTTTATTGGCAGAAGTAATAAAAGTAAAACCATTTTTATAATTTTTAATGTAAAGAATATGTTTTATAAAGTAACTTAACTGGTTTGCAACTATTACAAGGGCAAGATAGTTTACCACATTCAACAGCATTGTGGGATCAAATCACTCATTTCAGAATGAATGGGAAGACTTATTTTATATCTGTCATAAGAAAACTGACAGCTTATTTGTAATATCTACCAGTGCACATCTAATTCTTTCTTGCAATTTGTTTGCACTGACTACTCTCCCCCCACAAAATTCAAGGACAGCATAGTCAAAAGGTTGAAGAATTCACCCAGCAAAAAATTCAATTAATTTTCCACATAAAAACACTGTGATACTTAAGGCATTCCTTAGAAATAATTTATTTCAGTTCACTGGGACAAAGACTATTTTTGTGTTTGGATTTTTTGGTCTGGAGTACATGCCATGTTACTTTATTTTCTTCCATTATGTTTCCACCTTTACTATGTTTACTTCTGTTCTTTCGCATATATACATCATTTCTGTTACTACATGATGCGGGGGTTTTCAAAAACCTTTTAATAATATGGATCACATTTTAATACAGACATCTTCTGTAACCACCTCTCCTCTCATCTCTGACTCTGTGGAACACCTTCCTTCCAATTTATGATCAAAACATCTCTGTGGCAACTAAAGCAATTGCTTACATAGAAAGTTAATATTGGGGGGATATTTTAATTTATTTTAAGCTGTCTTTTATTGTAGTTTAGCAACAGAAATAAGTAGGAACCAACACATGCAGCTGCTGTTCATGAACCTTTGTTAGGGCATCATCCTGAACTAATTGAAGTCTATGGCAAAACTCTCTGACTTTATTAGGAGAGGGTCAGGACTTTAGAGAGTATATTGCCGCTACCTATGGATTGTATATTTATTCAAAATCCAATAAAAACATTTAATCAGAAAAAAAAACTATGGAAAAATATATATATCAGATTGTCTGCAGTTCTGCTACCAAATTCAAGAATTATAATTCTCTAGTCAAAAGTAAAGGAAACAAGTTTATAATATTACTGAGTTTATGACTCATTCACACTGCAGATCTCAGTGATTAACTGTTCACCATAAAACAAGCAAGATAAGATAGAGCCAACAGCTAAACTGAATGTTACAAAGTCTTTAATCGCACAATCTATTGAGTTGGTGGTGCTTCATAGAATACATAGTTCTAAAAAAGTCTATTTCTTTAACATATCCAAGTTTCTTTTTCCTTTTACTTTATTTTAAAAACATTCACATGAAAACAAGATCTTTGCTTCTCACAGAATGGTTGGAATGGTTTTGTGCAAACTTGTTTAAAATTAGTGTCACAGAGAAATGACTAATTTTGATCTTTTAAAGAAAATATAATTTAGGATTTTTGAAGTCCCCATAGGCTCTGCCCCCTGCTGATATTTGCTATTTCTCTCATCAGCAGAGGGCAGCAGAAGCTGCCTGAGGCTTGCACAAACAGTTTGGAAAGAACTGCTACTAATATCAGTGGGGAAGGGGGCACCTGCTCAACCTCACACACATCCTTTAAAAATCTGGTAGCCTAGGAACTAAGCAGCAGCCCCCACAAATAAAGGCAGCTGGCTGAGCAGGAGAGAGAAGAGGATGGATGAAGACATATCCCATCCAAGCAGTCTGAGGAAGGGGCTTCTGTACTCCAAATCAAATACAAGGACAGCTGGGCAGTGCTGGGGAATTCAGTCAGCTGTTAGTGCTGAGCTCCCACTTCCTCCTGCTGCTACTTACACCCATTAGCCCTTCTAGAAGCCCTTTCAGCCGCTATGGTGAGGGGAGGAAAAAAGGTAGGGCCCATATAACTCTCTTCCACCTCCTCCCCTCAGGACTTGTTCTCTTGCACCTGCTGGATGTGGGGGTGGGGACTCCTTCCCGCACCAACACTGTATTGTTTACATAGCTGTTGTTTGCCAGACAGCTGCACCCTCGGGCAGTGTATGCAGCCTGATTCCTGATGATGATATAACAATAACCTCTCAGCAGGGTATAGAGCATGGGGAAGGGGGGAAGAATAGGGGCCAAAGACCCACTAATATATATATACACACATTTCTTTAAAAACTGGTTATTCTTTTAATTTGCCACTCAAGCAAAAGTGGTATAAGTTGTTGGAGTCAACTTTTAAGGGTTTTGATGCCTTATTAAGTGTACTAATTCCCATCCTGGACTCATAATCCATTGTGACATGATTGGTTGCTGTGTAAATGATTATGATGTTACAAACAAAGGATTAGGCTTTCAAGCTGTGAATAATCAGCAAGAACAAATACATCCAAAAGAAACAAAAATCTGGTGTTTTCCTACTGACAGCTTCATAATAACAAGGAAAGAAATGTTTTAAAATATTTGCAAAGAGACTTTTGCAGCAGATATCAAGAACTGATTTTTTTTTGTTTTTTTGCATTAAATGGGTTGCTTCAGTCTTTAGTAAACATTAGTATTCATATTGGCATCACTTGAACATACAAAAGAATTACCATACCAGCTCAGATCAGAACAGTGGTCCATCTACCAGCAAGCTGTCTTTGATAGTTGCCAGTACCAGACACTCTAGATTAAACTGCAAATCCTCCCCCTCCAACCCCAACCCCCACC